GTGTAACAGGAAGAAAAGGTCTAAAAGAGCAGGGGAATTGGGAGGGATAGGGGAAGGGAAAAAAGGGAAAGGAAAAAATATGAGAAGAGGAAAAAAATGGAAACAAGGTCTTTGCAAATAGGGAAGGGAGGGCAAGGGAAGGGGAAAAATAATAAGAACCAAGAGACTCATGTAAAGGCACAAGATCCCAATGATGAATGTAACTGCATTTTATACCTAAAATGTAACAATAAAGTTAATGGGGGGAAAATAAAAAAGAATGGTGCAATATGTGACCTTTCATGCCTGCATCCTTTCACTTAGCATGATGGTTCATTCCTTTGTATGTATAATAGTATTTCATTTTTTATGACTGAATAATATTCGGTGTGTAGCAAACACTACATTTTAAAAATATATCCATTCATCAGCTGATGGACATTTAGATTGGTTTCATGTTTTTGGCTACTATGTGTTAATGCTGCTGTCAGCATTTGTGTACAAGTTTTTGAGTGAATGTATGTTTTTAATTCTCTCAGGTGCATACCTAGGAGTGGAATTGCTGGGTCATATGGTAATTCGATGTTTATCTTTCTGAGGAAACATCAGAGTATTTCACAGTGGCTGCACCATTTTTTTCATCCCCACCAGCAGTGCACAAGTGTTCCAGCTTCTCCACATTGCTGCAACACTTGTCCTTGTCAGGTTTTCCTTTGCCATCCTCTTTGTGACCATCATATTGGGAATGAGTGGGACTTGCTGTGGTATTGGTTTGCACTTCCCTAAGGACGTTCAGTGTCATTTCATTTGCTTAGTGACCATTTACATGTCTTCTTTGGAGATGTCTATTCAAAATTTTTGCTCATTTTTTCTTTTATGTGGGTTATTTATCTTTTCTGTTGACATGTAAGAGTTCTTTGTACATTCTAGGCACTTAGTCCTTAATAGGTGATTTGGAATTTTTTCCCCAGTCTTTGTGTTTCTTTACCTTTTTGATACTATACTTTGGTATACAAAAATTTCAAGTTTTGAAGATTGATTTACATTTTAGATATGACACCAGAAGCACAAGCAATACATTGCTTGTGCTTCTGGTGTCATATCTAAAAACCACTGTCTAATCAAAGTCATGGAAATTTTTACCTATATTCCCTTTTTAAAAGTTTTATAGTTTTAGCACTTAACATTTAGATCTTTAACCTGCTTTTAGTTAATTTTTATATATGGTGTGAAGTAAGGGTTCAAGTTCATATTTTGTATGCAGGCATCCAGTTGTCCCAGTGCCATTTGTTAAAAAGACTCTTTTTCCATTGAATTATCTTGGCATCTTTGTTGAAAGTAACTGATTTACTTCAAGTCTAGATTTATTTCCAAATGCTCAGTCCACCCCATTGTTCCATACATATGTCTGTTCTCGTGCCAGTAATACACTGTCTTGATTTTTGTCTCTCATTAAGTTTGAAATTGGGAAGCGTGAGCCTTCCAACTTTGTTTTCTTTTTCAGTATTTATTTTACTGTTTTGTGCCCCTTGCAATTCTGTATTAATTTAATCATTGGCGTGTCCATTTCTGGAAAAAAGGCCTGCTGAAATTTGACAGGGATTGCACTGAATCTCTAGGCCAGTTTAGGCAATGTTTTCATCTCAACAATTTTGTCTTCTAATCCATGAACAAGGGCTGTTCTTCTGTTCATATATTCTTTAATTTGTTTCAATAATGTTTTGTAGTTTTGGCATAAAAGTATTGCATTTTTGTTTAAATTTTTTAAAGTGCATTATTCCTTTTGAAGCTGTTTCAAGTAGGATATTTTCTTAATTTTATTTTTAGATTATTCTTTTCTAGTATATACAACTAATTTTTGTTTATTGATGTTGTACTCTGCAACTTGTTTATTTGCCATAATAGTTTCTTTGTAGATGCTTTAAGATTTTCTATACATAGGATTATGTCGTCTGTGAATAGAAGTAGTTTTCCTTCTTCCTTTCCAATCTGGATGCTTTTTAGTTTCCTCGCCTAACTACTGCAGCTAGAACCTCCAGTACAATGCTGAAAAGAAGTGGTAAGAAAGGACATCCTGTCTTTTTCTCATCTTGGGAAAAGATTTTCAGTATTTTCTCTTTAAGAATGATATTGACTATGGATTTTTCATAGATGCCTTTATCTGACTGAGAGAGTTTTCTTCTATTTCTAGTTTGTGGAGTCTTTTTTTTTTAATTCATGAAAGGATGTTGGATTTTGTCAAATTCTTTTGTGTGTTCTTCCCCTTTATTCTATTAATAGTATATTATATTGGTTGATTTCATATGTTGAACTAACTTTGCATTCCTGGCTTAAATCCCATTTCATTATGGTGTTTAATTCTTTTTACATGTTGCTGGATTTTGTTTTTCAATATGTTGTTGAGGATTTTTGTATCTTTTTTCAAAAGGAATATTGTTTTTGAGTTTTCTTATGCTGTCTTCGTGTGACTTCTGGCTTTGGTATCAGGATAATGCTGGCATCATAGAATCATTTACAAAGTGCTCCCTCCTCTTCTATTTTATAAAGTTTGAGAGATGAATTAGCACATAGTCAAAGATAGTTTAGAATAAAATTGAGGTGGTAGCTGGGCATGATGGTACAGCCTGTATTCCCAGCACCTGGGAGGCTGAGGCAGGAGGATCACCATGAGTTCACTGCTAGCCTGGGCTACATAGTGAGGCCTTGTTTAAAAAAAGAAAATTGAAATGATATATTTCTTCTAATAGTATCTCCTGTTGATAGATCCAAAATATAAATAATTTAATGTTACTACACTTTTAGTTTTTTAACCCTAACATTATAAAAAATAGAGGTTTATGGTAGATATTCATTTTCTTGTTAGCTAGTTCTTTTTAAAGTAGTTTATAGAGGATAACAATATACAAAGGAAATATAAAGGTCTTTTCCAAGTCTTCTCCAAAGAAGTGAGACTGCTGTCTTCATTACTTTCTGTTACTCTCTTACATTCCAGAAATATATTTCCCTATTCAACTCTGCTCCTTAAAACATGTTATCTTATTTTCCACAGTTTTACACAAGGATCCAAGACAAGTGTATCTTTGTCTTCTTGAAATTGGTCGCATTGTGTCAAGGTATGTATTCTGCAATATTTCAGAATTTCAAAGTCATAAACATGTTAAGCTACTTAACTGTAGTTTAGAACACTACTTTCTACAAACGAAATGATTCTCAGTTGAAACAAAGTAACCTAATTTATTTTGGCTTTCTTTTTTTGTCTTTGTTTTCTTTGTTCCACTAGCATGAGCATATGTCAATGTTTCCTCCATATACGTTGCTGATAATTAAATTATAAATTGGTTACTTAAAAACTTCAGATTAAGCATAGAGTAAAAGCAAATAGTCTTAAAGCAGCTCAGGGCCAAGCAAGTCTTCTGAACTCAGACTCTGATGAGAGAGCGGAAGTTTGGTGTCCCCCATACTTGCTTCAGCCCCATCTTCACTCATCTGCTGATTTCAAAGCTGCCCTTCAGAACCCCAGGAAGGATGCTGAGAGCATCCAGTAACCCAACATGTGCTACCATGTGAAGATTGTGGTCCGGATTTTTGCCGACCTGTGAGGCATAGGAAGCATTTCCAGATGTCCAGTGAGATTGGTAGAAGAATCACACAGGCTTTGCTCTAAAAATCAAAGTTCATCTATCTCGGTGCCCTGAATGATCAGATTTCCTGCTTTGTTTTCAGATATGGGGTTGAGCCACCAGTATTAGTAAAACTTGAGAAAGAAATTGAGTTAGAAGAGACTTTGCTTAACACTTCTGGGCCTGAAGAGTCCATCAGCATCCCGAAATCCTGCTGTCGGCATGAAGAGCTGCACGAGGCTGTAAGTATTTGTCACACTTTCTTCTGCCTACCCGAACTCTCATAGGTTTATACGCCTCTACACTGCTGCACATGATGCTATGTGTTACTTATTCAGAATATGTAGCACTGAGGGTAATGTGTTTGATGGCAATTTGTTATTGCTTATGCATGAAGCGGATGAATGGGTAACTGAGCAGTGGTGGGGCAGACGGGCTGCATTACAGGCCACAAGAATCCACTGATTGCTTTCTTTTTCCCCCCAAGAATAAATCATTACCAATAAACCTTTAGAAAGTGTTGCTTTGTTTCATTGAATGTAATAAAAGTCTATAATAACATATTCAGATAAACTTATAAGATAGATTAAGAATATGTCAGCATGAGGCTGGGGATTTAGCTCAGTGGTGCTGCCTCCTGCCTCTCAAGCACAAGGTCCTGAGTTCGATCCCTGGTACCAAAAAAAAAAAGACTATGTCAGCCCAAACAACTCTTTATCAGACCAAAATATTTATCTGTATTATCTTATTTTATTTACCTATATTATGTTTACCTATATATTATCTACATTATATTTACCTACCTATATTTACCTACATGATCTTATAAATACATTTGGTGTCTGGAAATATCAATATTGGAAGCAGAAATAATTAGTAGATAAAAATAAAATGTATTTAAAATTTTATGTAAGCTTAAAGAATGATTGAATAAAAGAAAATATCTAGAAAATATTTTTATTAAATAGAAAATACAATATGTTATTTCCCCATAATATAAAGATGATGATGATGGAAATTTGATGATGGAAACATTTTTGGTAGGCAAATGGACAAGGACTGCATTCACACAAGAAGAAAGTACAATGTTGAAACTTACAGCTACTCAAAGAAATGATGAAAAACCATTTGTCCCATCAGCCACTTAAAAATTAGAAAACTTAGGGCTTTTAAATTGTGGGGAAACTGTACTTAGGGATGGTAAATGATGTAAACTTTTGGAGGCAAACTGAAAAATAGATACCAAGAGCTGCTCAAATATTTCTTTTTCATTTTTTTGTAATTGAAAATGTGGAAAAATAACATAAATGAAAGTGTTTATTGCCCTATTATTTTTATTGGTGAAAAATCATAAGCAATATAAAACCACTGATAGGGCAGTGGTTGGTAAATTAGGATTCAGTATCTTAACAGAATAATCACTTTCTGTGATCATTATGGCAACTATGTAGCAATAAGAAAAATGCTTATTTTGTGAAAAATATGCATATATGAACAAACTATATAGAAACAGGGAGAATGAAAATAGTAGGTAGTAATGTAATACCATTATAAATGATTTTAATTTCTTTAGCTGTTCCCTCCAGTGTTACATTGTTAACTATACAATAAATAAAACCAGAAGGGGACATTTCTTATCTATAGCTCTTACTTCTCTTAGGCTCACTGTTGTTTAGGTTGTGGGCTAGTGTTGACTGTACTGCTCTATATAAGTGGTTATTTGGATATTTTAAATAAGGAAGATAGTGACTTCTCAGATTTACATTCTTCTTATGAAAACTAAAAATGAGCACATTTCTTTAAACATGCATGTACTGTATGATTACATTCAATGTCCATGTATAAATACACGATCTACAGGTATCTTGGTGTCATGTTTAATATTCAGAACAATTATCTAATTCACCTTATAGTGTCCTGTTAAGAAGAGGTTTTTTTTTTCCCACGTCTTAAGTTTAATTAAATAATTTTGTTTAGATTTATTCTGTGTGACAGTAGTTGAGAAAAATATTCATGATCTTTTACAAAAATATAATTTTAGGGAAAAGTCAAATAGTTTCTATAGTGGCTGATATGCAAAATTTATCAGACAATGATATTTCAAAAAATATGTTCATTTTATCACTTTATTATGATTTCTATGTTAGAATATAGAATTGTCAAATTCCTCTTTTATTTACTGTAGTCCTACCATGTATTTGTTTTTTATTTATTGAAATTAAAAAATTCCTGAGGTATAGAAAGAAGTAGGGTTTCTCCTGGCTCCCATCTCCTTAGCTGACTTTGGGAACAGGGCAAATACTTAGAAACATGCTTTTCAAGCTGAAACCTTAAAAGAATTTTGCCTAGTCAGTGTGAACGTACTGAAGGCATGGGTGAATGAATGTACATGAATGCATCTTTGCCTATTTTAACAATAACTTTTAACAAATGTAGATATCCCCCACCCCGTCCCCCCTTATTAGTTAAGGGAAATTTCCTAGGCTTGATCTGACTGGCCAGTCTTTGACTTGACACAACTATTATTAATTCAGGGCTTCAAACGAGTGAAGCATAACAGTGATCTCCTACGTTTCCTAAAACTTGGCAGACGCATCTAGAGTTGCCTTTCCTGTCCTCAGTGGGCATGCGCGCACTGTAGGCCTGATTGCGTTTGCGTGGAGAGGCTGGGTTTATGCTGGGTCAGCAAAGTCTCACCTCCAGGTTCATTAACAAGTGAAAGGGAAGGAATATAAGACAGTTCACGGCCTTTGAATTTTTATCTTTGAGATTTATTTTTCTCACTATCAAATAACATCACATTTTAACTTTAACAAAGTATTTTTTGTACCAAGCACCAAATTTAGCTATTTATTTTTAATCTTAGGTTAAACATATTGCCGAAGACCCTCCCTGTAGCTGCTCACATCGATTTTCTATTGAGTACTTATCAGAAGGCCGGTACCGACTCGGGGACAAAATACTCTTTATAAGGGTGAGTTGGTGGATCTGGTCTGTGACGAAGCTGTTGGGGCTGGTGCTACTGCTTTATGTATTTCTTTTTGCTCCCCCTTTTCTAAAAAATGGGAAGAGGTGCCATTCTGGAAGAATTTCACTTGGTTTCAGAGTATGCAAGAGCTTAGGTGAGTATGTGTAACACAGCAAACGACTAACTTGAAAATAGCTGAGACTATCAGACGCTGAATATCACCAGGAAAGCAGTCTTTATACCCCTCAGGGAACTTCATTTTTAAATTTTTCTAAAAGGGAATTTTTTTTTCTCATCACCATAAGAAAAACAAAACATCTCATAAGTATAGATGCCCATAGTAAGAAAACGAAACAGAAACACCAGACACCAACCGGCTGGCTGCGGGCCCACGACAACGCCGCTGGGGTGGACAGCAGCCCCGTGTACCTGAGGCCAGGCCCAAACTCCTGCAGCCCTCGGAGCCCAACTCTTGTCTGCAAGGAAGGACTGATGAATTCTATCAGAGTGTTTCATAGATTAAATTGTTACGATACACGTGAGGATCATTCATTAAGTTGCAAAATATGTCTTAGTTTTGTTGTTTTTATCTTCTTCCCTGACTACTTTTTCCTTTGCAGGAGGCATTTCCCCCATTTTTTTTCCTCTGCCTCTCTTCCTTCTCTTTCCTTCCTTCAATAGGCAACGCCTCTCCGAACAGTGTAACTCCTGCAATTCTATTACTAACTCGGGTTTTCTGCATGTAAATATTTTCATTACAAATTGGAGGACTTCCGTTGCTAGTTGCATAATTAAATACTTACAAGGTGTGTAACTATAAGAAAGAGGCTGTCACTGCGTCACAGAGGTGCTGGCAAATGCTGAGTTTCACAGATCGAAGACCAGCGGTGGTGACTGCGAGTGACGTGATCTGTCCGTCGCCTCGTCTTACTGGTGTGTTCTTTCCTCTCTTCTGGGGACAGATGCTTCACGGAAAGCACGTCATGGTCCGCGTTGGTGGAGGCTGGGATACTCTTCAAGGATTTTTGCTTAAATACGATCCCTGTCGGGTATTACAGTTTGCTACTCTAGAGCAAAAGATCCTAGCATTTCAGAAAGGAGTTTCTAATGAAAGTGTGCCCGATTCGCCCGCCGGAACACCTCAGCCTCCCGAAATGAATCCTCTGTCCGCCGTTGACAGGTTTCAGAAACAGAGTCTGCGGCCTGGGGCTCCGCTCGGTGCCCGGAGCGGGAAGGAGAAGCAGGCGCGGCCGCTGCGAGGGCGCCCGGGCCCCGCGCCCGTCGGCCCCAAGTTCCCGGCTTCCCGGGCAGCGCCTGCTGGGCCCAAGCTCGCGCCTCCTCAGGGTGCTGCTCCCAGCCCCGCGTCCTCCTCCCTCGCCCCTCTACATCCAGCCTGCAAAACCCCCGCCTCACTCACTTTCTCAAGAAGCAGCCCTAGCCCCTCGGAGACCCTGGGGAAGTGTGGCGCAGCGCCCAGCAGGCCCCAGGCCCCGGCTCTTCTGACCCAGACTCCCAGAGCTCCGGCCGCAGCTCCACCTTCGCCAGGCAAACGCCCGGGAAGCACGGAGCCCTTGAGCCGCAGTCCGGTTTCTCGCAGGCGTGATGCACCTGTGGGTTCGTCATCGAAGTGCCCCAGGGAACCAAGGCCGAAGTCCCCTTTGCAGTCCTCCGCAAAAATGACAAAACCCCGCTCCCACACCCCGGCCACAGGTCGGGGGGCTCCGCCTCCCGGGGGAGCCTCGCAGGCAGTGCTGACCCCCTCCCGGAAACTCATCCCAGCCGGGAAGGTGAAGCAGCCAGGGTCGGTGGCCTCGGCTTTTCCCGCCAGAGCTGCCCCGGGACGGAAGGAGACGGCTGCAGTCTCAGCGGCCAGGAAGCCGCCTCAGGATAAAAGCGCTCGCCCGGGGACGGGGCCTGGCTCCTCAAGGCCTCCCGGCCGCACCCCGCTGTCCAGCGTGAGCGTCCCCCAGACTTGCGCCCGAGCCCAGAGCGCGCCCAAGTCGGCACAGCGCGCGGCGAAGGGCCAGCACTGGGCCCCGGGGCCCGCGAGGGGCGGCAGGAGCCCGGCGGCCGCCAGGAAGCCTCCCTCGCCTCCCTCGCCTCCCTCGCCCGCAGCAGGTGCAGAGCGCGGAGACAGAAAGCCCAGCGCTGAGAAGAAGGAAGGCGGGGACCACTATTTCGTCATGACTGGGAGCAAGAAACCTAGAAAATAAACACCTGTGTGTCCCTGAGCAAGCAGGGGAGAGGCGCGAAATACGTTCGCTCGCTCATTAAAACTGGCCTGCGTGTTCGTGGGACAGCAGCAGTCACTGGGGACAGCCAGGTGCAGGCTGGAGGCCCGGACGGGAGAATTCAGTCTGAAGTCACCGGGAGGCGCCCTTGCAGGCAGGATTCCTACTCATTAATAGGCGGCTTGTGATTTTCAGTCCGGAGCATATTTGTTAACGCCTGCCCTTTAGCGGAATGGAAAAGTCAAATAACACTACTGGAATCATAATTATACTTGCTGTATTTTTGAATAGGTTTTAAGTATGGAGGTTATATACTCGCTAATAGTAACAGTGGTGCTTTTAATATTGGCTGCATTTTAGTGAAAAAGCAACGGTTTGACCCTTGTTCTACAGAAGGCAACTAAGTCAGTTTCCGGATCAGGATTGCCTGATCCAGCAATACTGTGTTACAGTGGCTGCTGCTTATCAGCTTATTCTGGTTTGGGAGAATTCTTTTTTTTTTTTTCGTACCAGGAATCGAACCCAGGGCCTCACGCTTGCTAGGCAGGCGCTGCACCCCGGCCCTCCTGTAGTTCTTTCTTTTGGTCCTGGGGGTCGAACTCCGGTCCTTGCGCTTGCAAGGCAGGCAGCAGAACCACTGAGCCCTGGGAGAATTCTTATTTAACCTTAAGTTTTCTAAATCAGGAGGAGCTGATTTTTTTTAAGCTGGCTTGTATTAATAATGATGATGTTTTGTTACCAAGATTTTTGGTAACAAACAAATTAATTTATTGAAACATAAACTGAAATTTAGTAAAAACTCAAATTAAGATTTTCATATATTACTGTAAAAGTTTAGACACCTTACACTTTTAGATGGATTTTGTGCAATGTGACAGGGAAAACCCACTTAGTAGCTTTTAGCAAAATAAAATATTTTAATTAATTTTCTATGAAAGCAGGTATGAATTTTTACATTAAAATAATGTTTTAATATCAGAATTATGTTTTAACAATTTTAAAATGTAGATATAAAAGGGTTTTAAATTGATACTCTAAAAATTCTATCCTATGATTGTTTTTCTTTGGGTCGGATAATGCCAGTTTTAATTAGATGCTTTTAGTTATGTTAATTTTCTTTAATAAAGTCATGCCGCCTCATTTTTCCATGCCAGTAGACGGCACGTGTTTACATGTCTCGCTCCGCAGGTGGATTCTCACAAAACACATCCGGGTTATGTAACGACTACATAGACTCCACCCATCCAAGAGGGAGGATACTTGTAAATAATTTATTTAAGGGACTGGGACTATTTAAATATCATTAATGTATTTTGAGAAGTTTATGGGTGTTTTGAATAACTTTACAGTGTTATCACTTATCACAAGTTTTATATTGAATATTGAGATTTGTGTTTGTTTTAATCTCAAATATGTTTTCTAAAGGAGAATAACAGTTTACACAAATAGCATCTTAAGCTGGTTACTAACGTTCAGTTAATCAAAGGTATAGTCAGGCTGCCTTTTGGTGTAATTAATGGATCTCTTAAAACAGACAGCCATCAGATATTTGGTTTAGTTCCTGAATTGTTTTGGACATTGAGAGAATATTTACACCTTTGGGAGTTAAAGTCAGTGTTCAAGAGATAGTTAGGAGCCTTACTGTTTTAGTAATCAGAAATGTTTCGTGCATCTTTTGAGGAGGAAGAATTTTACCTTCATGAAGTTTATTCTAAGATCAAGCAACACTTCTATATTAGTAACTTTTAGAACTTAAGAAAAAGGAAAAGAAAAGGATATTGTAGCCAGCCTATGGATTCAAGTAGGTTTTGTAATGGGTAAACATTAATTTTTGTGTTAAGAGAAATAAAAATATCCCTCAGGTACCTAGCACAAATTCCAGAATTAATCAAAGAATTGCTTATTTTAAAAATTTGAAATCAACTTATAAATCTATTGTTTAGTAAGAGAGAATTTCTCCAGTTGTATTCATGTTGGAAGAATGTTTATTTATGTAGGGCTTACCTTTAAATAATGTATGCTTTCTTAAAAATGGAGCTTTTATTTTTCTTAGCTATAATTTGTTAATGTTACTAATACATAAAACTTTAGAGGAAAATGGAATGCTGATTACTTTTATACTCTGCAGGCTTCAAGGAGGCCTTTAAGGCTCGTGTCTTCAAAATAGCTTGATAAATTAAATGACTTTGAACTTTTCTCTCCATGCTGAATTTACAATTTTTAACAGCAGAGGCAGTTTCTAAGGAAAAAATATTTCTTCTCTATCCTCTTCATCTCGATCTGCTTTAAAATCTGTCACTTCTTTACAAGCCTTCAGTAGCACGGTGTTATGATACATTCCTAGATCCTGGCTTCTACACCGACTCTGCTCCAATCCACATTTGTGTATTATTCTTTACTTGTGCTAGCAATATTTGTATCTGATTTTAACTTACATTTTCTCAAGTATTAAAGTTGAAATATGAACCAAGGTCTTGGTTTGCTTTTTTGGTGTATTCCTAATTCATTCTGATCACCAGCTGTTACGTGGGGAGTTGCATGTATGAAGCATTCATAATTTGAGGGTGGTTTTAATTCTTTTTCTATTTAAAATGCCCTTTTATAGTTGTAGAGTTTATTTTACTTCTAGGAGATTAGAAAGTGTTGCCATTAAGAAACGGTATTTGGGGGCCGGGGATTTAGCTCAGTGGTTTTGCCGCCTGCTACGCAAGCGCAAAGACCCGAGTTCGATCCCCGGTATCAAAAACAAAAAAGAAACGGTATTTTTTCCTCAAATTGCTGTATCTTCTAGAAGTTTCAGAAAGACCAGACTCAGATTTAATCATCTTTGAGGTAACAGAAATAATTTATTAAAGTTAAATTCTTTGGGTACTAATCCTATAATCTTGTTTCAACTTCATACTCTGGTACAGTGAGAATATTCTTAAAATACTTGCTCATCTTTTTCCTCTATTCATGACCAGAGTAGTTATAAAAGGCAGTTAATTCAGTATGTATCTCCTCTGATGTTTTCAAAATAGAAAAACACAATTTTGCCAAAATTTTAGTATTTTTTCCTAATCTTTTGTGGATGTAAACTTTTAAAACTGATGAAATTTTGAGGACTATTAAGAATATTAAAGCATTTTTTGGTAAGTGTAAAAATACAAGGACACAAATATTATTAAATTATTTTATAATAAAGATTTTATTCTTATAGAAAAATACAGTAGGATTCGATCTTAAAGAAATATATTTAAAGATTTAACTACAAGAATGTTAATCAGAGCATATTATTAATATTGGTATAGTTGTAAAAATACCATAAGGTCATTAAAAATCATGTAGTTATTTATGTATCTTAAAAGTAGCACATATGGTGAGGAAGTATTTTTTTGAGAAACTGTAATAATATATGATAATTTTAAATTTTCTACATTTGGCCAAGAACAGCACAGTACATGTTACAGGCCTGTGAACTTAATAAGTGCTACTATAATTAAACTCCTTTAGCTAGTCTTTTAAGGTTTTATATATTTTATTAAAAATCACAATTTTCTTAAATTAAGTAACTTATTTCACAAATTATTGTATAGGAATGAACAAACAAGATAAATGAATAGAAGATGGCTTTGACCATTGAGGGCCTCTGGAGTCAACTATAGCAGTGCTGAAATGCATTTGCATCCACTCAGATCACCTTCTAATACCTGTGGAGCATGGGGGATGCCTCGGGAGAGAAAGAGGAATGAGGCCGTCATTGTATTCAGGATCCTTGGGTTTATGTGGCACTTCGCAAGTTACAAAACACTTTCCATTGCATGACACCCAATATTCCCCCAAATTCCATGAACTAGGTTTTGTCCTTGTTAGACTATAAGAACCAGAAAGGCTTACTGCTGTATTCCCAAGGCCTAAACCAATGTCTAGCACATAACAGGCATTCAGTAATCAGTTAAGTGAATGAACTCACTTTTAACAGATGAGGAAACCAAAGCTCAGGTAAATTTAGTTACTCAGTAAATAAAACGATGCCTACTAGAATTAATTGAAACATATAATATATATCCTACTTTATAAATTGTTGAATTGTTCTTTCATATTGTGACTCAATATAAAATTTATATGGCATCTTTTAAAAATTCTGAAATATCACCTGCTTTTCATTATTTCATAGAAAAATCTTAATTTTATTGGTTTTCATTACTTTTTATTAAGTATTACAAGTGTGAAGATTTAGAGATTAGTGTATTCTTAAGTTTCTAGTTTGATACAGCAATTATAAAACACTCCTCTTTAAAACATTGTTTTTGGTACACTGAATTATTGTAATCAATCCTGAGGACAATCCAATAAAGGTGCTCTGTAAATATTTAGTGGATAAAGGAATGAGAATAAGTTAAACCTAGCACCAAGTACATACATTAGAATTAAAATAACTTTTCTGATAGTGCAGTGGAAATAGTTGTTGGTAAAAGGTAATGTAGGTAGCTCTAGAGCCCCAAAACCTGCTTTTTAGATACATTTAAAATTAAGTGACTGTCCTCCAAATCAGCAGGTTTCATAAGGTTTTTCCAGAAGGAATAAGTACATTTAAATCTCTCTCACGCAGCCTTGAAAATAAGATACAAAGTTGTCATGTGGATTCCTTCAAAAATGCGTTGTACCATGGTGTGTGGAAGAATCCAAGAAATAATTGTTGGAGAATAGGCCAAACTATTGGAAGAGGAATGGAATGTGATATTTGAAATTTTATTTTAAGCCTAAGCATTGAAAGAAATAAAATGAAGACATGTGCCTTCAAACTGAAATTCTCAGTAGTTTCTATTTGCCTTATGCATCAGCAAAAGCATTTTTGAAGTCCATGAAGCCTCAGGACTTCTTACAGGTTAAAAAAGAAATAACCACACTGAAGATTACACCGTTTGAAGTCTATGAGGCTCAAAAGGCAGGTGGAGCAGGGAAAACAGCTTGGAGCCTTAAGAGGCTATTCCAGGGAGACGAGAGCAGGCGCTGCTCCTTTGCCTTTGGCCCCCGCCCCGGCTCATGTACTCTTCAAGTCTCAGCTTAAATTTCTTTTGCTGAAAAGCTTTGTTGGGTGCCTCCAGCATACTTTCTTCCCACCTTACATTTTTCCTATCATTGCATTGCATCTAATGCTGGAATTTCCCGTTCACTTATCTGCGTCTTTCACCAAACCATGAAGAGCTGGAGCTCTGTCTCGCTGCTCACCACTGCATCTCCTGTGGCCAACACCGTGCCCGGATGTGGAGGATAAGAGGGAAGGAACTGTCTTCTCACTGATAGAAATTCGCCCTCAGGAGGGTGAAGTGAACTTCTAGCTCAGTTTTGTGGATTCACCTACAGTCCAAGGATCTTTTTTTCCTTGAGAAAATGTCATGGTTGAACTTGAAATAAGCAAACATAACCTGCTTATCTCTGGAGAGGAAAGGAGAGGAAGAAGGCAGTAATAAGAGCAACCTTGGAGCTATGGATTTCTTCAGTTGCATTAACGCTTACCAGAGATTGTGACATTTTTCCAGAGGAAATGTTTTTGATTTTAATACTTATTTTCAGGGTTGTGAGAGAGGCCACACAGAGCAAAGGGTACTGTTATGGTTTAGGTCTAAAATGTCCTCCAAAGTCTTGTGTGTTCAGAGGTGGGGCCTGGCTGAAGGAGGTGGGTCTCGGGCATGACCCGAAGAGGGTGGATTCCTACCCCTGGCTCCTCCCTTCTCTGCTTCCTGACCACCGTAGGTTGAGCAGCTCTCCTCCACCAGGCCCTTCTGCCAGGCCTTTTCTGCCTTGGAGCCAACTGACTGTGGACTGAACCCTTTGAAACCATGAGCCAGATAAGCCTGTCCCTTAAGTTGTGGATGTCAGTTGTTTTGTCTCAGTGACTGGAGAGTGACTCTTACACATATTGGTGTAGATCAGCAAGTCTAATTCCACCCTCAAGTGGAACAGAAGAGAGAATTCAAGCTCTTGGTCTGTTAGTTTTAATTCTTTAAAACCAACCTTGGAGAAGCAAAAAGTCAAAATGGTAGAGGAAGTTGTGGTTGTGACTCATCAAGCTGCTGGTCCCTTCACGGGTGCTCAATGTTTTGGATCCAGCACAGCAGATTCCTTGGATTACCTGTACTTAAGATTGCTTCGAAAGCAATTTAGTTGGCCACAATGCAGTAAACACTGATTTATTCACTTGCTCATTCAGCAAACACATTTTCTGGGTGAGTACTTGACAACATCTATTCAGACGCCGGGAATATAATGCTAAGGCTAATCACAGTTCTCAAAAAGAGTACAATTTTTATTCCAGTGGTTTAAGAACAAAAGTGTCGTGTTCTTTTGGACTGTAATCTGAGTCTATTTTACTCATGGGATAAAATACATCTGTGAGAGCAGTTTATGTTTTTTCATATTGCTTCAGATTGGGAGTCCACTGAAAAAATAAAAACTGTAGTTTTGGTTGTATCTGAGCCTCAAAACGAGTCATTTACACTAAGGATTATTACTCAGGAAATAGGACAGTAAGAGTCAAGTCCTAAACAGGTGATTGAAACCTGAAGCTTTCTGTTGCTAAGACGTGTTTAAAAATCGAGAAACCCATCTCTGGTAAAAGATGTTTCTCTGACTCTCTAACATATTTCCCGTCACAATAGGGGTGGACTGAGGCCTCCATCTGCTCCACTAAGCTGGGCCTTGGTCTCCTCGAGGACATCACAACACAGACTGAATCTCGAGCCAGCCCCTCGCTGTAGGCAGATCTCTCTAGGGCTGGCAGTTAGAGAAACAGCACTCCCTGAGATTCGACCTCTCAGTGCCTTGTCCCGCTTCCCCAGGAAGTGAGAGGAGACGAGTCCTGTGAAACACACCACAGAACAGCACCACCGAGCATTGGCGTCTTCCCGGGTGGCCAAAAGACAACTTGGGAAACCCGGTGTGTTCAGTTCAGCTCTTTTGGTTTCAAGAAACAAAGGTCCACTTCCGCTTCCTCTAACAGTGGTCTGTTTCATGGATACACACAACCTCGGGACAGCAGGACTCTGCCCAACAACTTGGAAATCTGTGGCGAGCGAGTCTCATGGAAGGATAGAGTTGCTCAGAAGCCTGGGCACTCTAGAGAGAGGTGACCTCCTCTCCCCTTTCTCCTCTTGGTACTCTGCTAGGAACACACACTTGCTGGCCTCCAAGTTTCTATTTTGTGTGTTTTCTTGCATAAAAAAATCAACATGAAAGCAAATTTTAAAAAATCACCTGATATCATTTGCTAGTTCAAAATTAAGAAAGAATCTAATTGGCTCATTTCCATTGTCCTTTTAGGGGACAGTGCATTTTGCAATAAGCCACTCCAAAGCTTACCAGTCAACCAGTGACTTTCCTGGCCTCATATCAAAAACTCCCCCTCTTGGCCAATTCGCACATGAACAAATAGGTCACATGCAGACCACGGCTCTCTCAGCGTAAGGAATACTTTGGTTCCTTTG